CTAGAGCTCTGTCTGCCGTGCAGCCCCGGCTCCCGGGGATCTTGGACCCATGCCCTGCCCCCATCACAGACACAGACACACACGAACACACAGAGACACATACAAACACATGCATGCACACAACACACATGAGCAACCGTGCACGTACAGGTACACGCACACATAACCACAAACACACACACAAACACATGCATAAACACCCACATACACATACTCACCGCACAGTACACGCAACTACACACGTGCATACAAATACAGATACACGAACACACACGTACATGCACACCTCCGAGCCGTTCACAAATACAGCTCAAAAGAAGAACAAAGATAACCACCAGATTGACACTGGGTACTCCCTTCATTTGAATTTAAACTTGGTTTGGTCCAAGAGGGACATGAAAAACACCTGGACCTCTTCCGTCTCTCGCACACTGGGTCATCTAGCTACAGAAAACTTCTGTCTGGGTGGCTGCAGGAATAAATAAAATAAATAAAAATATATAAATAAAAAATAAATAAAATAAGCTCACGCTGCATTTACAGGGACAGAGAAGTGGGTTGAGGCTTTTGAGTGGAGAAAAACCGGGGTCACTAGTCTCGAGATGGAATGCAACGTCCGTCTGCCACTGCTGTTGGATGGACGGCCCCACCTGCGCTGCCACCCCCACATTCTGCTGGTGAAATGGTGTGAAACCAGCATTCTGCTCCAAACACACGTCACCTAACGTTGTCACAATAAAACTCGGCTACCGACGTTGCAGTGAAACCAATAATGCATCTTTCCGCTTGCCTCGATGTTCTCTGCTTCCCGGGTGTTCTGGAGAGACTTAAGGATGGTTTCAGTCTGGGATTAACCTGGTCCATTTGTAAAATGGAAGTGAGGAAGCCAGTTTCTCTCTGTACACATGGTGTTTCCTGGGGGCTGCTGGGCGCTGTTATCACCCGGGGAAAACGTCTAGTGTCTTCCGTTCTTACCCTCTTCCGACTTGGTGCGCCTGTGGATTTTAGCTCCGCTGTCTCCACGTAGCGGCTGCTTCCCCATCCCCACCTTCTGGTCTCCAAAACAGCGTCCCCATCCAGACCTAGGGGACAGACCTCTTGCATGCACCATGTTCTAGGTGGTACTGTCTCTGTTCCTTCTGTGCCTTTGAGGATGCACAAAACTGGGCTACTGTCAAGATGGATTAACCAGGATTAACCTGAGCCATTCCATCCTGGAGTAATGGAAGGGAATTTATCTATACCCCAGTTTGGATGGAATTGCTTCTCCAGACCCACAGTTTGAGTATCTCAACCACTAAAATCCTGCTCTATTTAGGCAAACGGTCTAGGACCCCAGGGGGCTGCATTTCAGAAGTAATCATTCATGTCCGTTTTCCACGCTGGGTTATGCTTCTCAGGATGCAATGTCTGTTATGTGGATGGAAAACAAGAGTGAATATAGCCCATGGCTTCTCATTAGCAAGAAACTTTCAGAGCAGATATAATGCCAGGGAAATTTTATTAACTTGATGAGCGTCGATGTCGAAGTTCAGGGAAATTTAGAGTCCCTGTGGTTTCATACCAAAATGTTTATGCTTTTGCTTCTTAGCAAATATGACACCCCCCACAGACATAGGAGAGAGGGGGGCAGTTCGGAAAAGGGGGCCCCAGCCCCCATCCAATTTTTGGCTTTATGCTGACTGGGTTTTAGCACAAGCAGCAGATGTGACTGCCCGGGAGCGATTGTGTCTCACTGAGTGTCCGCACATCATCTCTCGCCACAAAGGTCTCTTCAGGGACGTGGCTCCGTTCCCAATTCCGATGGCCACCGCCATCACGGGTCTGCATTCCGAGTCTGCCCTGCACCAAGCCAAGCCCGCTCACCAGGCCGCTTGCAACAGGCTCCCCACCTGTGAGCTGACATCTGCGACCTCTCCACCCACCACGCAAACCCCCCTGGCCCCCACCCCTCCGAAGTCCCCTTTCCAGGGGACATGCCTGGCTGACTGTGCACGACTCCTCCGGGAACTTGAGTTTAGATGCTTCTATTTCAGAAGCGAATTCCCGTTACACTTGAGCCAAATGTCAAGGATCCAAATGGAGATAAGATAACTTTGAGAAGGTGCAGACTTCATTTGAATAATGATGTTGGAATTAGCATATACTTCTTCTCTGCACCACCACCACCGTGGGGCCACCTCTCCAGGGAACACTGCAAAACCGCACAATTACCCCAAGGCTAACAAACAAGCTTTTTAAATAATCTTTGTTGTTACTGTGAGTGGTTATTTCTGACCATTTTTTTTTCTTTATACAGGTCTACGTTTTCTACATAGTTTACAATAGACACCCATGTCCTTGACAATCGTGAAAACAATGCCCACAGTGCAGCATCTTCTAATTTTACATCAAATGACTCGGGGATCCTGGCTTCATTCTCCAGTTAAAGTTTTGAAAAAAAATCAAGCTTTGCCAGTCTCACTTCTCAACCCCAACAGTAACATGTACAGGACTCAGAACTCCAGCTCCTGGGGACAGGCTGAGTGATGTACCCCTGTTTATAAACACTCAGGCAGGCTACAGACAGGACACACAGGAAGATCACAGCGGAGGCTGGTGTAGACGGTCCCTCCCCGGGACAACGGTATATGGAGAGGATGCTGTGCTCTACTGGGAATACCTGAGTCATCACAGTTCGGGGTCACACGGCCGCCTCAGACCACTCTGCAGCACCTTCCCACTCCTGCTCCTGCAGACTCCATTTCTTAGAGTTGGTCTTCAGATACGCAAGTCTACCCTTGCTGTCCTGTGAGCTCGCTGTGCGCACAGCCAGGATGGAAGGCTCTACCAACTGAAGCAAATGGGAGAAGACATCGTCCTTCCCATGGATAAGAGAGCAAAGGCAGGAGGGAGAACCATGTTAAGATAAGAGGGTTGCGTCCGAAAGACAGTGTCAGAATAATACCAGCGTCTCTGGAGCAGTTATTCTCTGCTGGGCGCTGGCTTAAACTCCTTCTTTCATATTAAAATTTGTAGGACAAAATAATTTGAAATCATAGAATAATAATGAGGTGCCAACATACAGGCCACAGGAATTTAAGATGCTAGCTTTGTCATTTTCGCTTAAGAAATGCCTCTTTTAAAGAAATAAAACATTACAGATTCAGCTGAGAAGTAAAAAAATTTTAAAATCCGAATTCTTGTCTTCCGCCCTCGGACCATCGCTACCATTCACTTCTCTTGTATGGAAGCATACAGAATCGAGGACATTGTTGCTGCTATTATTTTGAACAGAGGTTATCTGTTACATCAATTAAGAACAAGAAAAGTTAGAATTTTTATTATACCTTCCAAAAAGTTTCTTAGAGATAAATGGCTTAGCAGAGACTAAGAAGGGCCATTCCAGCCCCAAAACCACCTCAGCGGCTCTTCCGTCTTAATAAATAAAAATTGTACTTAATCTTCCTACCCTTAAATTCTTTCACTTCAGACAATTCCTCTGGTTCCTCCAATAACGTTTTGTAAGTTATACAAGAATCATGCAAAATGCAATTTCTTTTTTCTTTGCCACTGATCTACAGCTGCCATGTTTTTCCTAACAATGGCTCGATCTTGGATAGCTGTTTGCTTTTGTGATGTGTGTGTGTGTGTGAGTGTGTATGTGTGCGCAGGTCTGTGCTCCTGCCAGTTATTCACCCCTCCCTCCTCTGCACATCCGGTGAGTGTTTTGTCTCTACCACAAAAACAATTTTGAATATCTTACTGGTCATCGTATGGATGGACGTCTACATACTGTTAGATTGGACTATCATTCTACTTGTCTCTTTTTACTCTTATTCACACAAATGGCAAGCTTCATCTGCAACTGTTTCCTTGGCAACTCCTTTTCTGGACATGTAAATGCTATTTTTAGAGTTCGGATTGGGTGCAAAAAATTGATGCGCATATACAGTGCTTTCATAAACACAGCCCAAAGTAGTTTGGGAGATTGGACCCGCTCCTGACAAGTGAGATGGTTCAATTCCCCCATGAAGTTATAGCAACCAGAGGAAACAAAATAAACATGTTGGTGATGTCAACGTTTCCCCAGAATTCATGCAAAAAAGAAAAGCTTCATGTACAACTTATTTGTTAAATAGTACTCCCTTTATTGAACTCTTGTATTTAGTAAAACCTCGTGTCCAATTCGAATACAAGACATTTCAGTAAGGAAAACCAGGACAGATAAAGTACGGGTATGAATTTACATACTGCCCCTGAACAGTGATGTGATGACACGTGGAGAAAACCGACATCCAGCAGGGACACTCAGTAAACGGTAAGATGTGACAAATCCCGGTGATAAAACTTGTACCACAATCCAACAGACCTTGAAGACGGGACTAGTTTTTTTTTCCCCCTACTCATGTTTGTAAAAGAATTCCGGAAGCCGAAGAAACTAATTTCAATATACACACAGGGCAGGGAGTAGGGTGAGGGGAATGAGGAGCCCAGGGCACAGAATTTAGTGAGGCATTCACTGTCATTGTTGTGCAGGACATGCTCCTGGCACCCAGCCACACCTCAGTCCCAGCTCTTTGCATACATGCATCAAGAGCAGTGCTCGTTGAAAATAAGGGCTATATTCGGTTATCGTTTGCATATGTCTACTCTCAGCCTGTGGACAAGTAATGTCCACTGTGCTTTACAAAGACCTAAGAATAGAAATATCAACTCCCAAATTCTTTCCAACTCCAGTGGTCGTTTGCCCTGAGGCAACGAGTAACATTCACGAGTTCTGGGTTCTTATATTATCACTGAGCCGGTCCCAGAAAGTGGGAAAAACTGTTGTCCCGGGAGGTTCCCAGTATCTCCTTGTAATTGACCTAGAGGTATATCACACCCTGGCTTATAACCCAGCTGCTATAGCTCTCCAGGCCTCTGACACCTGCTCAGAAAGGAATTCCCCGCCCCAGACCGCCCCAAATGAAGCTTTGTTAAGTCATCCCCTATTGCTGAACAAACTCACTGCTCCACTGTTCAAAAAACAGAAGGCATAAAGGTGAATACAAACGTAAGAAAGGAGTTCACATGTGGTCTTGCAGGCTTTCCATATAGTCTCTAAGGTCCCGGGGACCCCCCAGCCCCGTGTCCTGACAGACCCACTTGATGTTGTCCTCACTGTCAAACAGGATGGAGTTGGTGTATGGGCCGCCGTCCTCCGGGAGGATGGTGGTGTAGGAAGTAAACTTGACTCGCTTCCGCTTTGGGCCCGATGGATTTATAGGCTCACTTTTAAGGTCTTTCTCATAGACATAGTCAGAGGGTCTGAGCAGTTGACTATGGAAAGTCTTCTGGGAACCGCCATTGAGAAGGAAGTTCCTCTCCTCGAACTGCAGTCCCCTGTCTATCATGGTCGTGCACTCCTCCGACGGGAGGGTGATGTCCACGGGGTTCTCCAGAAGTTCTACTTCATTCCCAAGCCAGACCCAGTCATGGGAATGGGGGATGTTGCCTTGCTCGCTCACGGCAAATCTTTTGTGTCTGTATTTCCAAGCAAAGGCCACACAGTTGATCAAGAAGACCAAAATGGCCAGGCAGAAGACGCAGAGCAGAGCGTACATGCCGATCTCCAAGTCACTTAACCCCCTGGAGGTCACTGTCAGGTCACTGGGATTATTGGGTTCCGGTAACTTCCCTTGAGTGGGGAAACTTGTGAACGCGTCTGGACCACCACTCTTGAGTGACTTCTTATCCTTTCCTTCCTGGGGAGACTGTGGGGTTGTGCTTTTGTTGCTACGTTCCTCTTGGCCAACCGAGGCGCCATGCTGGAACCACTCCTGACCTGCTCTCTCCCGGTTTCCTTCACGCTCTATGGAATTACTGAGGTGGTCCTTGTATTCCCGACTGATGCCCTCAATATTGTTGGTGCCTCCTTGGTGCTCATAAATATTTGGTTCAAATCTGACCTTGACATTCCCTTTACCCACGGCAAGAACACTCTTCCTCTTGGTCTTCTGACAGGGCTCACTAATCATCATTTCTAATTTAATCAAGGGCCCTTGCCCTTCACCCTGTGCGACCACAACCGGCCATCTGGACTGAAGGTTTGCTTGGACAGACACCACCATTTCATCCAATGATGACACAGTAACTGAAAAATCCTTGGGATCATAAATGTCTAAGGGTGTCACCGACCCATCACTGAACAAAATCCAACAACTGAGAAAAATGAAATTAAAGCATTATGTTATAGTTTATTTCCTTCAAGTTTGTAAACATGTACACAAATTTATAAACCACACATGTGGTTTCTTATGAGATATGTTTCCAATACACAGGCAGAGAACAATAAATATGTTTTAAAATGTGGACCAGTTGCTATCATACATTAAACTGGCATAAACAGTGGGCTGTAACCACACTGATGTGAGGAGCAAATTTGTATACTGTAGTGAATGCAGTCCTGTGTATATTAACTTAGTGAATGTCATATAACAGAATTTGACTTGGAATTTTCCAAAGAGTTTGAAAGATCACATGATGCATTTGAATCAATTTCAGGTGCAGCTACTCAGGCTACTGCTCAAGATCATATCACTTCACCATTCTTTATTAGAAAGACATGCTCATTTGAAGTATTTGAGAAAAGATGTATTATGGGGACTGGCATGCTTGAAAGGCACAATGACCTTGCTATAATTCGACTGGATTTGCTACAAGTTTAAAGATGGAGCAGAGTTTTAAGTTTCCCATAATTAATATAAACCAACAGATGTCTGGTGCCTATTAGCCATACTTCTTTAAATAGCAGAAATAGAATTTGCAAGCATCAATTATTACTTATTTCAGAAAGGAGAACACATGTGATCCTTTGGTCATGGTCTACCAGGAGTCCCCCATCACAGATAACCCACTGCAAAGTAGTATTTGGACACATGGTTAGTGTGTAAAATATATAAGAAGACAATTTATCCAAAGTACTGAGCACTTTTCTCAGAGACAAGACAGACCAGAGAGAAAGCAGAAAGAAGCTTCAGGGACCCCCTGTCCTAGCTATGAGTGCCCTACTGATCTTCTCCACAGATGTGAGAGGGAAGGAAATGGTCTTAACTCACTGGGGACAAAAGGACTCTGGAATCCCACCTGCTGTGGGGCCTGGAGGATGTCCTGGGCAGACACCGTGGAGACAACAGCCCTCTTGTCCGCTCTGTGAGGCTGCAGGGCAAGAGACAAGCCGGCCACCAGCTGCATGCCCAGGTCAGCGATGGTGACGCGTTCATCCAGCACGATCACTGTCTTCTCAGCCAGGATGGAGTCGGGCAGAGGTGAGAGCACCTTCAAAGGAAGAAAGCAAGCTCCAGTCTCTGCTGCACACACAATTAATGAGGGGAAACAGAAAGAAAAAGGTAAAATGCCTACCAGAAAAGTGGGGCTTGGTAAGCAGGTGGATGTCTTCTTTTCGATCATTTGTTTGCCACCATCCTTTAAACCCCAAAGTGTGCTCTCAGTGCTAAGTCTGAGAAAGTCTCCAGAAAGTAGGAACTAGCTCAGACCAAAACAAAAAAACAAAACAAAACAAAGGCAGAAACCTGCCCTTCGCTTTATCCAGCTGCAGTGACCGATGCAGGAGACTTTCATGCCATGTTAGCAGGACACTTTCCTCCCAGGCTGAAGTGTCAGAACAGCCCTTTTATTTGGGGCACTGCTTCCATTTGTACCCCCCGAGAAACACTGTTCTCTAAAATCCAGGATTATCAGAAACCTTGCTCTTTGAAATCCCCTTCGTCAGGCAGAATGGACATCCCTCTCTTGCCTTGAGGACCTAAGTCCCTTGGACGCAGAGAAGCAAATCTGACTTCCAACTCCAGTGCAGGATTTCAGATGATGCAACACCCCCCATGCACGTGAGTTATGCATCTCACTAGCAAGCAGGACCCTGGGTCCACAGTAGGGTCCAGACCGATGCCAACAGCTCAGGGTGTCCTGAGCTACCCACACTCTGCTTTATTGGAATCTTACCTGCCCTCAGCCCTTGCCGGCTTCCTATCAGACTCTATCTCTTTTGTCCAATACGATTTCCCACATTTCCTCTGTGTGGTGGTCTCCCTAAGAGCAATAGGTCAATAAACCGGACTTTGTCAGACAATAGATTTGCACCCGATGATCTTAAGACAGATGGTCTGGGGCTAGGACAACTTGTTGAAATGCAAATGGTTTAGAAGAGCATTTTTTTAATGTTTAATCACATCCCCCCCATTAAAAAGCAAAGAACTATAAATAGATCAACCTAATATATTTTACTTCCTTTGATTTATACAATATTAGTCATTTGTTTTCTTCAAAGAGCTTGATTTAATTTAGTGATAATTCCCCCCAAATTAAAGGATATTATCTCCCTGCTGGTGTGGGCCCATTAGAGCACAGAAAATGTAACATTTTCCTCAAAACTAATAGTTATATTTTGACAATCTTTTTACTAAAAATATTTAGAGAAATGGTGTCTCGCCTTCTCCCCCCTGCTTAATATTTGTTCTTTGAGCAGTTAGATGTTTATAATGTAATAATTGTAGATCCTTATAGCATCATTGAGCTCGCTGGGAAAATTCAGTGCAGAAAGGAATCTTAATGGCCTTAAAAAGTCATTTCACCTCATAAAACATCAATTTGCAACCAGAGTGATTCAGACCTGGACTAATGTAGTATCAATAGACCAGCTTTTGCAAAATCACATTTGGGCGAACCCTAAATTGTGATGTGATAAGGAATATTTAAACCCTTTGTAAAGATAATGATCTGCTCTATAATCTCTTCACAGCCCTCCTATTAAAATTAACTATGAAATATTTTCAATAATTGTCCAAGAAAAGAGAAAGCATGACACTAGGGAACTATGCGTGTGAGTGTAAATAAGTATGACAAACAAAATGTGTCCAGACATCGCCAAATGCCCCGAGGTTGAGAGCCGCTAAGACCAGGGACATAAGGTTGCTTTCATTGTGTGTCTCAACATAGCATCCCCTGGTGAAAGGGTGAGAAATCTGATCTCGAGAGCGTCTCTAACTTGCAGAAGCTTCTCTGTGGTTAATAAAACACGAATTTCTGAGTATGCGGTCTAAAGGCTGATGAATTCTGTGTATTGTGTTCATTGCTCCCTCCCACGTACCAACACACACTTGCACAAAACTGCCTCACACAGATGTATCTGGACAAAAGCAAAGAATGGGCTGAGTATTTGGGGAAAATGCCAAGCAGTGCATTAAAGCTGCCGTGGTTATCCCCGGCTCCCGGCCCACCAGGGTCCTGCCGCCCTGGAGCTGCGCGATCCTCGGCTCCTCCACCGTCATGAAATCGGCCACGAGGCCGGTGATGTCGAACTGCCAGTCGGGGCCCAGCATGTAGCTCAGCTGACCCACGTCGGGCGCCTCGGCCACGAACTGGGTGAGGACGCGCACCGTGGCGTGCTGGTACTGCAGGGAGCAGCCCCTGCCCCTCTTCTCCTCGTCCTCCTCGTCCTCGCTCTCTCGGGTGGGCCTGGGGCACACACAAACCAGGATGAGCCTGCTCCTCATCAGGGGTGTTTTAAATATCCTCAGTTTTCCAGCGACCGTAGGGCTGTGGTCATGAAAACACAGGACCTGGCTCCTCTCCCGGCCAAACGTGTGTGTCCACAGATTCATTTATAACCTCTTCAGCCATCAGGCCTGTGGGGTGTTTTCCCGGTGTTAGAACTGTGGCTTCCCACCCAGAATTCAAGAAACAAAGACACTGTCTCTCGCCTTCAACTTGTTTTCACTCAAGCACAAGATCCAGGCAGCCGGAGAGGCAACAGGAGGATGGAGTGGAGGGTCCGCGGTTCCGGAGCTCTGCTGCACTGTGGAATCGCCTGAGGGTGACCCCGCTGCCCTCTTTCAGCTCAGAGCAATGTAATCAGAATGTCTTGGGGTCGGAGCTGGGAATTCACCTATTTCAAAGCGCGCCGGCGATTCCAATGGGCAGCAGTTTGGGAACCAGTGGTTTGAGCTCCAGAATGTAACACGACTAGCCCCACCGCCCTCCCGCAGACAAGGGACGCGAGCGCTCTGATCCTCATTCTCCTCTCCTGGGAAATCGGGGGTGCCCACCTCTGCTGTGGTTGTAGCAGGAAGGGGACCGGCCCGGGCCCTATTGGTTGGCCTGAGGCCGGCACCTGACACGTGCGTGAGCAATAGAGTTTGAGAGTGATCGTGTTATTGACGTTGCGAGGACAGGTGCTAGGGGAGAGCCCGGTGCAGGTCAGCTCGGCTTCCAGGAGAGGCCCGGGATCCGATGGCTCTGAACCCCTGTGGTTGAAAGGGGCTCGTTATGAATAACAAGGCACCCCTTCCACCTTTATGACTCTCCACTGAGGACAGAAGACCAGCTATTACAACAAACGATGCTCATAATCGCTCCTATCGCTTAGAAAACCCCGAGGGTTTGGGGAGCCGGGAGCCACAGACGGAGACCCAAATACGTATTTCTTATAATTCACGGTATCACGGGTGGTGTCCAGAGAGGCATCGGCTCTTGGATAAGCTCAGCGGCCACCATAGTGGCTGTCACTTCGCACATGTGCCTGGTTTCCAGCCACGGGACTACTTCCAGTTGTCCACTGTCCCCCGGAGGGGCATCGGCGGCCGCCCGGCACTAAGCAAGACCCCGTTCTCTTCTAGCATTGAAATCTGCCCAGCGGCGCAGGGAGAAGAGCCGAGGGGCCTACAGCAGCCCATACTCTCTTGTCAAATAATAGCATCCACGTAAGCGGCTGTTAGACTTCATAGGACGTGAACACTTTCCTCTCTAACCCACTTTCTGTTTACACACAGGATAGGCACTTCATCCCCGCATTTCGGCTTTTCTTCTGCCTCAAAAAATCAGATCCTCAGCCCCAGGCAGTTATGGGCTCCCTCATTAGGCCCCCATGCTGGGGAATTCATTGCCTCAGAAACGCTTGATTCCTTGAGCTGATAGCTATTTCCAAAGTCAAGGCAAAAACCACCACAAAAATCACTTATTTATGATGAGATTCGGGAAAGTTTCCTTTTCTTCTTTCTCCCTCCAGGGTGTTTATACCCGGTGTCTCTTTATAGACTCTGCTACACCTGTTACGGAAGAGCTATTATAAAAGCAAATTTATGTTGCTGTTTTTTGCTTTGTGACGAT